GACTTCTAATAGCAAGTATACAGGAAGAAATCTTAACTGTATCATAGAAGTCACATTTTCACAGATTCTCAAAATAGCAAAATATTATTCATTCACATCTCAGATTTTTTTTCTTTTTGGATTAAAAATAAGCAGATTTTGAATTTTGAGTGCCATAATTTATAAGTTTTCTTTGATAATGCAAAAATGTTTATAAACAACTGATTCTAATTAAAATGAAATCTTAACTCAGGTACTAGAAATTATTTTTCTAGAATATTCTTATTTAACTCTGTCCCTGCCTCACTTATGTTCCCGTCCCCAGCCCCATAACAATATCTAACCCCTCCATCCAAGCTCTACGTAAATGAGCCTGGGAATTTGAATTTACAATTAAAAGACTTAGATACAGATTGTTTTACATTAATAACTCCAACTCTATGATCCTAATAATGAGTAGACACAGAAAAGACAAAATGTGATCGCAGCAAAACAAGTATCTTAGGGGCCAGGTCTATGGTTCATGGGGAAATGTCACTTTTATAGCCCTTAAATATATAAGATCCCTTGTGGAGACACTTAAAAGTAACCTAGCTATTTTAGCCACACCAAGAAATCTGTTCATATTAAGTAATTATAGGGTAGGAACTTAAACGTAAGAAGATATGAAAGAATATAAAATATTATGTATGCATCCTGAACTTAATTTGGAATTCTTTGTGTTTCATAAAAAGTGGGAAGGTCGAAAAGAAAAAGGTGGAGGTGTAGGTGTTGAAAGAACTTCAACTTGGAAAAAGACATGAACTGCAATTATGTTCACCTGCCCTATTTAGAAAAACATCTTGAAGCCATCCTTCAGTGTTAAAAACAGAAGGTATTTGTTGACTACATTTTTTTTATCTTTCCATTAATTAGTTACAGTTCAGAACTTATTCATTAAACACTTAGCATTTTTGACATACTAAAGAATTATGTACCTACCCGGAGACTGTTTAGAGGCAAAGATCCAAAAGAATGAAACTGTAGCTGTTCTTTGGATTCAGCAATTTTAATTAATTTTAAAATGACCTCCCTTCTCTACCTTTCACCTAGCCAATGAATCAGTGTAAAAATCTCCTATCAGACCAACTGAGAGAAATTCTCATTTTTCTGAGGTATGCTTAGATGTGAGAGATGTTCTTTCTTTCCAACTCTTACAACGCAAAAAATCATTAGAGATGACGAAAAAAGGACACATTTCAATGCTCAAAGCCACAATTCATGATGAGGATATACAGTTAGGAATAGCTGTGCACCAAATAACCCAGCAGCAACCACTGAATAGCACAAACGACAGGAGATGCAAGGAGACACAGAAAACACATTAGTAATAAGACACGTGAACACCCGTATATTGTGTTTTCTCACAAGTTGAAGATTTGTGGCAACACTGCATCGAGCAAATCTATCAGGATCATTTTTCCAACAGCATTTGCTCGCTCTGTATCTCTGTATCACACTTTGGGAACTCTCACGATACTTCAAACTTTTCATTATTAGTATATGTTATAGTTACTTGCGATCAGTAATTATGATCCACTGAAAGTGTAGATGATGGTTAGCAGTTTTTTAGCAATAAAATATTTTTTAATGCAGGTATATAGTTTTTTTCTTAGACATAATGCTATCGCACACTTAATGAACTGCGGTATAGTGTAAACATAACTTTCATATGCACTGGGAAAGCAAGAAATTCATTTGACTCGCTTTATTGTGGTACTTGCTTTTTTGTGGTGGTCTAAAATCAAACCTGTAATACCTCCCAAAGTTTATGCATGCAGAAGACCCAGTCAACTTACTCAATAAGGCAGAAAACCTGAAGATACATATCAAACTTCACACCCTGATAATTTTTGCAACTTTTCATTAAGTTTGTAATTATTTCAAAACTCAACTACCAAAAAATGAGAAGAGGAAGAAGAAAAACAGGAGGAGCGGGAAAGGAATGGTCAGTCACCAAAATGTTAGGAGTGACACTACTGAATTTCCCTTTTCCTCTCCCTTTCTTAAAACATTGTTAAGGCATCTTGAGCGTTAAACAACCCTCCCACCCTTCTCTCCATCATCAAAGAAAGTACTTTAATTTAGAAAAGTCTGGAAACATGCATCCTCAATGGAAACCACAAGACTTAAGAAGCCATAAAATGGGGCTGGAATGAGGATCTACAAGTCAAGAGGCTGGCTGTTCGGGAAAGGCCTTTCTGGCAGGTTCTAGGCGGGGCTTCAGCTGCCTCCAGGGTGGACCTGCCCATGGTGTGGACACAAGGGCAGCCCGTCCGCGGCCCCACGCTCCCTCTCCTGCAGAAGGTCAGCACGAGTCCACACGTCCAGTCCACAGTGTCCTCAGGCTGCCTCTCCAATAAAACCAGGTCGGCAGAAGGCTGTACACCAGGACAGAGTTCTCAAAGCTCGTTTCTGCATCTGTCATGTCATCCCTGAACCAAACCACAGACTCCTGTAAGACAGTGTCTGCCCAGCCCCAGTGCATCCAGGCTGCCCACCAGCCCCGACAGCCCCTGTCACAGAGGCACCTCATACACACACTTCCACCCTCAGAGATCACTTCTGGGTCAAAACTTTTTTTTTTTTTTAAACAAAAATCGTCTAACTGCCCTTTAGCTGAATTAATCTATGTTAGAGGCCCATGGAAAAAAGGAAAGAAAAATTGCCAGGGAAGGGAGAGGTGTATGTATCATTTGACTCATTAAACAAAGAGATGAAAAGTCTCTGAATCCCAAGACTTTTTGAAGAAGATAAACAAAAAGCACACAAGGAAATAAAATGTGACAGCTGTATGATGAGGCTGGTCCAATACCCAGGGGCCCTGTGTTCTTTTTTACTATGTCACTGTGCAAAACCAGCTACCATTTTATTTTAAAGGGAAAAGAAAATGCATTTTGTCCGTCTCATTGAGCAAATGATTTCAGCTTAACAGACCCAACCTGGAGGCACTGCACCTGAGGGCTTTCTCCAGCCTTCTTTGTAGAAAATAAGTTACCAAGGTGAGGCCGTGATGAAGAAAATGGGGCAAAGCAAATGACAATGAGTACACAGCTGAGGTCATTCATCACAAGACAGAGCTACATTACTGTGTTTCCAATGGCTTCCACCCACCACTGACACCAACGTGCAGGAAAAGAAGATACACCTGTTTCGGGTTTGTGTTCTATCCTCTTCTTTAAGCAAACAAGAATGGTTGTAGTGTGTATATGCTTCGTTTTACCACAAAGGATTGTTCTGGCAAAATGTACACTTTTTATGAAGCATTATATATAACTCCTTTATACTCCAGGAAACAAAGCGGAACAAACACTAAGTAGCATTAAACACACCCACAGTGCTGACTCTCAAGTGCGGTATGAATTTCTCTTGGAAAAATCACAAATAAAAATAGTTCCTAAAGAGATTTCACCTTAACTGTAATATTATTTCTAAGCAGTTAAGGAGAGGTTTATAAAACAACAGAGTGTGGTCACTTGCAATCCTGAACTGCTTTCTATAATTCTTATAAATTTTACTGAACGTATTTTCCCACAAAAGGCCACTGCTTCTCAATTCTCAATTCTGTCTTTTTTCAGGCAACTGTGCTTTTTGAAAACAGTTCTTCATTTTTGCACTGGATTTTGCTTTTCTAGCTCCTCAGATACGTAAGTCAATCTTTGACTCACAGGAATAAGTGGCATTCAAACTATGGTAGGTTGACCTCAGTAGCTAAAAAAAATAGTTTAAAAACCGAGCTCATTTTTCATGAGGCATAAGCCACGAAAAATATGATGAAAATGGAGTTGACATCCTGCAATTCTAAATTCTTTTACTTGAGAGAAAAACAAGGGATGATTCTCTTCTGACCTCATTATTGCTTCCTTTTATATCTATGTGGAATTCATGAACCTGTTACAGAGATTTGAGCGGAAATGATCTAAAGTACCATTTAGGGGTGCCTGGGTGGCTCAGTCATTAAGCGTCTGCCTTCGGCTCAGGTCATGATCCCAGGGTCCTGGGATTGAGCCCCGCATCGGCCTCCCTGCTTGGCAGGAAGCCTGCTTCTCCCTCTCCCTCTCCCACTCCCCTTGTTTGTGTTCCTTCTCTCGTTGTGTCTTTCTCTGTCAAATAAATAAATAATAAATAAATAAATAAATAAATAAATAAATAAATAAAATCTTTTAAAAATAAATAAATAAAGTACCATTTAGTATAGTTTTATCAATATATATGTTACATTGCCCCAAACATGTAATTTCTTCACAATGTTGTTATTTACATACACTATCACTGCCTTTTTTTGTTAGTATAACCATCTACTGGTCTCTAAATTTTTGAATGAATTTTATTATTAGTCAAATAATTTTGTTGGTTCATGAATGGATTGACCCAGCTTTATAAACCTAAATTTACTTGTATTGTGATTACTCCAATATAATGGGTCAAATTCACTTACCTCCTCATCACTTTTAGCTCATTACTTAGGTCCACTGTGATGAATGAGGCAGAAATATTTAGAATACGATGATCTGTACTCAAGGCCTAACTCATTTACTAACTAGCTGGGCAAGTCACTAAACTTTTCTGGTCCTCATTTTGCTCATCTCTAAAGGAAAGTGTTGAGTTAGACAGGTTCTATGGACCCTCTGAGACTAACATTCTAGGTTACTAACCTGAAAATAGGTCCACAAGCCATCTTCACAGTTACCAACACCAGGAGGTACAGTCACCTTCGGCTATGATCAGCTCTAATCTAAAAGATATTGTCCTACTATTGCCAAAGAAGGTTTAATCAAACCCTTGTGCAGCTCTTTAAGCTGTGACCAGTACTAATGTTCTTTGCTGAAAGAGCATTGCTAGTTTTCACTAAGATTCATCATCTCATTAGTGACCCAATTTCCAAAGTCACCAAGCAGAGGAAATTTCTCTTAAGAAACCTGAGAAGCAAAATCTCTAAAACTGTTACACATTTGCTACTACATTAGGAAAGTTCACAGTACCTAAAATAGCCACCACCTCATCATCCTGGATGACTTCCAAGGATCCTGACACCACAAAGCAGAGGGCATCCACACTTTCTCCAGCATGGTAAATGAGGTCCCCAGGAGCACAGTGAATAGTTTGGAACTCTACCGCCAAGGCGCGCAGACACCCATCGCTGGCCAATCGAAAAGCAGGATGTTCATTAAAAACCTTCCGGTTTAGATGAACACAGATATCAGCTCTCATGTCCTTGGGACAGATGGAGAGAACCTGAAGAGAGTGAGAAATGAATAAGTGAGAAGAAAAGAGAAAGGGCTATTTCAGGAAAAAAAAAAAGTCATCCAATAAATATTCATTGACTGTGACAAAGTCTGCAACACACGGTACTAGATACTGGGAATGCAAAGTTAAAAGACACATCTCTGCTCTCAAGGACCTAATAACCCAGTGAGATGGACTAATGAGTATATGGACTATTACAATACAGTACTACAAAGTAAAGCTTTGAGAGGGGTATGGATCTCCCCATAGAAAGAACAGATTCTTAAGGTGGTCAGGAAGGGTCTCAGAAAAAAACTTGATATAATTTCCTCAAAGAGCCAAATAAACTAGGGCATTAACATTCATTTTAGTCTAGTCTCTGTTTTAGAGTTTTTGCACAACTGAAACAAAATCCAGGATAATGGACTTTACTCCACACTGAAGGTGGATTTGTATGAATCAATTATAAGAAAACAAAATCAACAAAAGTACCCACACAGCTTGACATGCTGGCACTGGCTGAGAGAAGTCCAGCCTCAATGTGTGTCTTTTGTCACTCTGAAAGATTTTCATTTTACAAATAAATTTATGTCCAGGGAGTGAAAAGGGTATTCACCAGCCTTCTGTAGGGCTCAGACAATTGGAAGTGGCACTGCCAACAAGGTGAGGCCATCACCGCATGGCAGCCCTTGTTCGTCCTGGTCTTTGACTCCTAGAGACTGCTGAGGGAAACAGGAGAATTCAAGCTCTAGGCACCCTTCAGAAGACAGCACAAATGGCCTACCTAAGGGTTAGAGAGCTCTCATTGCCTGTAGCTTTCAGACAGGGCAATTAAAGACCCAGATTAAAATGGACACTACCATCACATTTAATCAGAGCATCATCAAGCAAGATGTGATTACAGAAGTCAGTACCACCCACTTTAAAGATACATGTACAAACTCACTTAGAATCCTTGCCCAATCCCTTTGGTAAACTATTCCTTATCAGAGATGTTTTTCTTTGATAGGCTTTCAACCCTCAAACTGAAGTCTAAGCTGATCTTTCTCCATTAAGTTATACTGAATAAATTTTTAATATGCAATAGTTTTCCTTCCTATACTACATACACTTTAATCTTTAAAAATTACCCAAGGCTTGAAATATACTGAGTATTCCTTTTGTTTGGGGCTCATTATCAATGAAAAGTTGGTTGCTTCCCTGTGTAGAAGACGAATCCATCATAAATGTGAAGACCATTAATTAAAGTATACTTTCAGTATCCCTCCCCTTAATCTTTCCTAATACTGTCCCTATTATTTTGTATCACTTAAGCTACCCTGTAGGGGGGCGCCTGGGTGGCTCAGATGGTTAAGCATCTGCCTCGGCTCAGGTCATGATCCCAGGCTCCTGGGATTGAGTCCCGCATTGGGCTCCCTGCTCCTTGGGAGCCTGCTTCTCCCTCTGCTCTCTCTCTCTCTCTCTCTCTCTCTCATGAATAAATAAATAAAATCTTTAAAAAAAAAAAGCTACTCTGTAGGTTTTTTATACTCCTTTGAATTCCCATAAGGACTAGGGATCAACTCACCTATCCTGAAAAATCTCATCTTTGAGGAAATGAATGCCTAACAGAGCTGTAGAAGCAATTAGCACTTTCCTTCCACGTCCGTTGTTTTCCATAATAATGTAATGTTTTCTTTATTATATTAACTTTTAATGACATTAGTCGTTCCATAGGTCCTTAGTGAGCTTCTATGATGGGGCGCGCCACTGCCTTAAACCCGTGGAACTAGAAGGGTAAATAAGACACTGTCTCTGTCATGTAGGAGCTAACCATACAGTAGGGGGTTTAGCCTTGCACATGGCCGGGACTAAAGAAATGTTGGCTTTTATTATCCCCATTGAACATGAGTCTTCTTACAAAGTTTACTGTTGCATTAGTTCTCTGCAAAAGCAATTTGCTTTTCTTTGATTTTCCACCCCAGTCTCAATTCTGTATCTTGGCTGTTTGATGAGATTCCAGGCAAAATTAAGAAAATATTTCAGCATTGAACCTGAAGATATTTCAAGCACTAGCTAATGTTAATATTTTCCTCAAGTTGAAAATGAAATTAGTGCTAGAAAAGCCAAAAAGTAAAAATAATTTTAAAATACATACACACATGCATAAACATTACACTGAAGAGCTTAACGGGAAATGGATCATTCTGTTTCTATTCCATTTACCTTACAGGATTTTTAATTTTTTTGATTCATTTTGGTAATAGTCATTTTATGTCCTTTTAATTATTTCTTTCAGGATTCATGCTGCAAATGAAATCTAATGTTGGCAATATTCTCTGTTCAGTGGCATATTGGAAGAGGATTTGTATTACATTTTAAGTGCGTCTTTCCCCTTTTTGTTTCACTCCACTTATGGCACTGACTCATTTATTATTTTTATTGATGGTATATACTAAAGTCCAGATGTCATAAAGTGACAAGTTAAAACTAAGTTGAAATAGACCCAAGTCACACCCAGCGGCAAGCTCTTTCCCTACCCCTGGATAGAGCATGTGCCTTACATGCTGTGTCTGTCATCGAAATATGAATATAGTGTTATTTTTTCTGTAAATAAAAGCACTAAGAAGTGTCTTAGGCAAGGCAAAATTTAGTTTTAAGTGATAAAATTACCATTCAAGATGACTCTAACACCTGCTCCATTAGTCTCAATTTCAATGAACTCTGCCTTAATGTCATATCCAGTCTCTTGTGGGTAGGTTCCCTAATGGGTATCTCATAGTTATAAATGAAATTATATTTCAGTAGAAAATATTCATACTAAAAGTAATTATTTATCCCCTCTTCATGTCAGGATAGTTATAAATTAGATTCTTTTTTTATTGTTATGTTAATCACCATATATTACATCATTAGTTTTTGGTGCAGTGTTCCATGATTCATTGTTTGTTCATAACACCCAGTGCTCCATGCAGAACATGCCCTCCTCAATACCCATCACCAGGCTAACCCATCCCCCTCCCCCCCTCCCCTCTAGAACCCTACGTTTGTTTTTCAGAGTCCATCATCTCTCATGGTTCGTCTCCCCCTCTGACATACTCCCCTTTTCTTCCTCTCCTCTTATCTTCTTCTTTTTCTTTTTTCTTAAAATATGTTGTGTTATTTGTTTCAGAAGTACAGATCTATGATTCAACAGTCTTGCACAATTCACAGCGCTCACCGTAGCACATACCCTCCCCAATGTCTATCACCCAGCCACCCCATCCCTCCCACCCCCAACCACTCCAGTAACACTCAGTTTGTTTCCTGAGATTAAGAATTCCTCATATCAGTGAGGTCATGTGATACATGTCTTTCTCTGATTGACTTATTTCACTCAGCATAACACCCTCCAGTTCCATCCACGTCGTTGCAAATGGCAAGATCTCATTCCTTTTGATGGCTGCATAATATTCCATTGTGTATATATACCACATCTTCTTTATCCATTCATCTGTCGATGGGCATCTTGGCTCTTTCCACAGTTTGGCTATTGTGGACATTGCTGCTATAAACACTGGGGTACACGTACCCCTTCGGGTCCCTACATTTGTATCTTTGTGGTAAATACCCAGTAGTGCAATTGCTGGATCGAACGGTAGCTCTAATTTCAACTGTTTGAGGAACCTCCATACTGTTTTCCAGAGTGGTTGCACCAGCTTGCATTCCCACCAACAGTGTAGGAGGGTTCCCCTTTCTCCACATCCCCGCCAACATCTGTCGTTCCCTGACTTGTTAATTTTAGCCATTCTGACGGGTGTGAGGGGGTATCTCATTGAGGTTTTGATTTGGATTTCCCTGATGCCGAGCGATGTTGAGCACTTTTTCATGTGCCTGTTGGCATTTTGGATGTCTTCTTTGGAGAAACGTCTGTTCATGTCTTCTGCCCATTTCTTGATTGGATTATTTGTTCTTTGGGTGTTGAGTTTGATAAGTTCTTTATAGATTTTGGATACTAGCCCTTTATCTGATATGTCATTTGCAAATATTTTCTCCCATTCTGTCGGCTGTCTTTTGGTTTTGTGGACTGTTTCTTTTGCTGTGCAAAAGCTTTTTATCTTGATGAAATCCCAATAGTTCATTTTTGCCCTGGCTTCCCGTGCCTTTGGCGATGTTTCTAGGAAGAAGTTGCTGCGGCTAAGGTCGAAAAGGTTGCTACCTGTGTTCTCCTTTAGGATTTGGATGGACTCCTGTCTCACGTTTAGGTCTTTCAACCATTTGGAATCTATTTTTGTGTGTGGTGTAAGGAAATGGTCCAGTTTCATTCTTCTGCATGTGGCTGTCCAATTTTCCCAACACCATTTGTTGAAGAGACTGTCTTTTTGCCATTGGACATTCTTTCCTGCTTTGTCAAAAATAAGTTGACCATAGACTTGAGGGTCCATTTCTGGGCTCTCGATTCTGTTCCAATGATCGATGTGTCTGTTTTTGTGCCAGTACCATACTGTCTTAATGATGACACCTTTGTAATATAGCTGGAAGTCCGGAATTGTGATGCCGCCAGCTTTGCTTTTCTTTTTCAGTATTCCTCTGGCTATTCTGGGTCTCTTCTGGTTCCATACAAATTTTAGGATTATTTGTTCCATTTCTTTGAAAAAAGTGGATGGTATTTTGATGGGGATTGCATTGAATGTGTAGATTGCTCTAGGTAGCATTGACATCTTCACAATGTTGATTCTCCCAATCCATGAGCATGGAACGTTTTTCCATTTCTTTGCGTCTTCTTCAATTTCTTTCATGAGTATTTTATAGTTTTCTGAGTACAGATCCTTTGCCTCTTTGGTTAGATTTATTCCTAGGTATCTAATGGTTTTGGGTGCAATTGTAAATGGGATAGACTCCTTGATTTGTCTCTCTTCTGTCTTGTTGTTGGTGTATAGGAATGCCACTGATTTCTGTGCACTGATTTTATATCCTGCTACTTTACTGAATTCCTGTATGAGTTCTAGCAGTTTTGGGGTGGAGTCTTTTGGGTTTTCCACATACAGTAT